CAAATTGTTATCATTAATTTTCCGATGCGTCCTGCATCGTTTTGCGTCTTCTCTGAGTTCCTTTTCTTTTATTTTTCTTCTTCTCTCTTTATTTGGCATTTTTATATTCCGAAAAAATAATACAGTATTCAACTACTTCACGCGAAAAATTTGCTCTCATCAAATAATTACATTGCCTTCGGTTTTGCGTTGCGCGCGAATAGATTATTTTGCTGCACGGAAAACACGCAGCTACAGATAATAATGGCAGAGTGCAATGATGCGTAACCACATAACACAACTCCACTGGCGCGCGGGCTTCGAGATATCAAGTTGATTAAAAATGTATAACTTTATATGGATTGTTTAAAAAAAAGACAAAAAATCAAAATATTAAAAGGAAGGGCCACCAAACATTTTTTAGGCGAAGGATAATTTATTTTGATATTAACTACCTTCATGTTAGGCGCAGTTTATTTATGCTAGATTAAAAAAAAAATCATATTTAAAAAAGGGCACTTTCTTTAAAAGGGGGGGTCGACCGCACCCCCCCCCCCCACGGTACGCCCCTGTATTTTATAGCAAGATACCTGTATCTCTGCCCACAAACATCTGAATTACCTATATTACTCGACTCGAATGCGCGTGCTTTTATTATAATTTTAGAAGTATAAGAAAAAGCGTGCAAAGATAAGATTGGGTTTCGGCACATGAAGTAGTATATTCTACGGTACATCACAGCGATTAAGATCAATGATAATGAATTTTACTATATGAGTGTCACTCCGGCAATCTAGAAGATGTACAATTTCCCCAAATTTTACCACCTCAGTCCCAATTGTGGTGGAGCGGAGGGCCGTGTGGACTCACAGGTCTGAAGTAAGTAAAGTAAATATTGTACATCAAATACAATGTTTTTAGGTTTTATTTTCTATTGTAACGTACATCACACATCTAATTAGATCTCTATGCAGTGCCCAAAATAGCTGATAAAAGATCATGAGAATTTACTGGCGCTTAATTTTGAATATATTATAATAGTGATGTAATGATGATGAATTTTACTATTTAAAAGTATCATTTCCGGCCATCTTGAGGTACTATTTTCTCAAATTCTCTCACCTCAGCCCTAACCATGGTGGGGCTGAGGTAAATGTGGCCACACGGCTTTGAGGTAGGTCGATTATAATAAATACATCAAAGAAAGTGTTTCTTTAGTTTTATTTTCTATGACGTACATCACTCGTATTAACTAGATCTCTGTTGTTGCCGAAAATCCCTGATTAAAGATCATGAGAAATTTGCTGGCGCTTGATCTAGACTAAATAATGATGGTGTGATAAGGCCAAATAAAAAAAAATATTATGTTGGCCACGCCCGACCGACCCAAATTTTATGAAATTCAGGGTCGGCATTTTAGTTTTTTTTTTTTTTTTTTTTTTGGCCTAATGGTGAATTTTTACTGTCTAAAAGTGTCATTTCCTGCCATCTATTTCCTCAAATTTTCTCACCTCGGCCACAACCATGGTGGGGCTGAGGTGGTTGTGGACTCATGACTTTGAAGTAGGTAAAGTAAATACATCAAAGCGAATGTTTTTAAGTTTTATGTGTACATTACACATACTAATTAGATCTCAGTGGTTGCCGAAAATCGCTGAAACTTTTGACTATATAATATGGTGATGTGATGATGAATTTTACTATATAAAAGTGTCATTTCCGGCCATCTACAGGTACTATTTCCTTAAATTTGTACACGCACCCTCTACCGCCAAATCCTGCATCCGCCCCAGAGTAGGCATATGACGCCATTACATATTTTGAATATTGATAAACGGTTGATTCAACTTTTATGTGAAAACAATTTGCGTTTTTAATATGTTTAAAACTATCTACATCTACAAACTACTGCATTTCAGACAAACTAAAAATGCCTGAACCACTGCGCGATGGTCACAGTAAGCATTTTTAGCATTAACTTCACTGTTACCATTGCAGATATAGTTCAAGTCTCAATGACGTCGAGTTGGTTTTTATGTTTATTTTTTTACTTCATAATTTTCTTTAGTATGATTTTATTTTTGTTTTTCATGTAATTTTTACTTTATACCTTTTTAGAGATTTTTTTTCCATAAATATTTCAATATCACTTCTCGTGACAATGAGGAAAAGTCCTGTCTATTTGACCATGGTTTTACAAACAGACATAGTAAGTCTTATCATTATTATTATGTTGATTATTATTATTTTCATTATTATTATCATTGTTCTTATTATCATTATTGGGCCCATTATCATTATTATCGTTAGGAAGGACCTTATATTCTAATTGTTTATCTGTGACGTGACCTTAACCGGGAATTAAAGAAGGCGAGCATTGTTTCTATAGAATTTGGATCACCTCATTTCGAATGAGATACTAGCTTTATTCAAATAATCTCACGCCTGGGATGACATGCCTAAGTTGAAAGTAGATTCTTTAGTATGTCTGCGGGGCTAGAGCAATAATATAGTATATTCTGTGTGGGAAGACTGCCAAGAATCTCGTTACCCGTATATAGCAGCCCGTACTAATTTACATGAATTAATATACAACAGGGAAGGTAAATTATTGATAAATAAAACACACTGAGGTATCATCGGTGTTTGTATAGAAGCTGCTGTTTCGCGAAACGAAACAAGGTATGCTTATTTTTAACTATTATTTACTGGTATTAGGGTAGGCCAGCGATAGTAGGTAGGTTAGGTGGGTGCACTAGCTCGCAAAAAAGGTGACATGAGGTGATTTTTAGCTACTTGAGCATGATTATTTTTTGCTTCGAATGGGAGATGGGAGAGTGGCGGAGCTATTTTTAAAGATAGTGCGTCCCTCGCACCCCCTAAATACGCCATTAGGCCTAGGCCCTATATGTAATTGATCATCCCCTGATACGGATCCGGGCCTCGGATAGTCTGCCTGGCAATGCTAATGTCTGATAAGTGATTTGAATCAATATTGTTGTCTCATTTTGATCAATTACATTCACCGAACTACATCATGTCTATAAATATATATATATATATATATATTATATTATTATTATTATTATTATATGCCTATCGGTTTCTTTTATTCAATAAAAACTTATATTCATATTATGTCTTCATTTTCCAATGTAGGTCTAAAATTAGCTTTAAAATAGGTTTAAAACACGGATGAACATTGTTATTATCAGGGCTAATGGTGTCAAAATGTTAGTCAAAATACTAGAAAGCATTGCTGCACAAAGGCATGCTCGCCTATCCCATATTTTGTAGCCTAAATCCACAGAGATTCCACCAACAACAATACATCTACGGTATAATCCATATGGATGTATGGCTTGCTATTATCAAACTGAAGGTTGGTGATTTGCTACTGCATTAAGGCCAGTGCTGATAAAAGCAGACTTTTCAACTTTACTGTTGTAGTTATTGAGTGTTCACTGTTGTTTTTTTACTTTATCAACAGGAAGAATTTACCTTTTTTGACTAGGCCTATATGACGAATAAATTATCATCAGTATTTGCAAGAAAACGTTTCTGATCATAGGTGCGCATATATGCAGTCCGTCATACACAATAACCTGACTTCAGTGGGGAGGATAGCTGTTATTTTTTACTTTATCAACAGGAATTTAATTTACCTTCTCTGACTATATGACAAATAAATTTATATCAGTATTTGCAAGAAAACCTTTCTGATCATAGGTGCGCATATATGCAGTCCGAATACACAATAATTTGACTTCAATAGGGAGGATAGGATGGGATAGAAGTATTTTAGGTGTGTGAATCACACCAAAGATAACCCATTAAGTCCGAAGACTTGTTTTCTAGTGGGGTCCTTCTGGTGGTGTATTTTTGTAGTACACCAAGAGACAATCCCCACTCTTCTTCATAAGAGTGTACTGCGTTCAACGTGCACATGGGCCATATTGCTGCGGGACCAAAAGACGGTGCGTTATTGTATTTCAGAACCCCCTCCCACTCCCCCACACCACCACACAGGCAACTGGTGCAGTAATTCACGCATTTCAAATCTCTCAGTTTGGTAAAACTATGGTTCTGTGGAATGTACAGTTATAGAAGCGATGATCGTACGATCGGATTTAGCCAGAAAAAAATAGAACAGAGAATGGAATTGATTGAACCCGGTGACAAAGAGATCGCCACGCCTCAGTGCACACACAATGGCTAAAACCAGTTTAGTTCTGTAGAATGTGCAATTAGGCCTATAGAAGCGATGATCGTACGATCGGATTTAGCCTGGTTTCCAGGCCCGGATTTTTGGGTTACTAACTCTTTAGCACAACCTAATTTAATTCATAAGAATCGCTTTTCACAACAAAACTGCTGCCAGAATGCTCATTAAATTGTGAATGCTAGCTTCCATCAGGCCTAACTATTTTTAATGGCATTAAAAACGATCAGTTGTGCGCGCGTCGTGTGCGCTGCGTTCTCTGTGGAATCGCGTCGGCCGACGACCGTCGGTCGGGTGCAGGTAGTGCCCGGCTAGCTATACAGTTTACACTGGGGTGGTTCACACACCCACGCTTATGCAACCCTTGTGCCATAGTGCAAGCGCAAGCAAGTACAGTGACGTAGACTAAGGCTGGAATGACACAAAGGTAGTGAACCGTTTGGGAGTGTGTGTCTATCAAACAACAACTGGCCAATCAGAAGAGGGATAGGAATACGACAAAACGGGTTGGCGGTCGCACTGAGTCGTACTCATCGTTCTTTGTCAGCGCTTCACGACGCGATGCCGTCTTCTGATTATCGATGGCAGATGGAATGGATTTTTTAAATTAAAAACGATCCGTTGCGCACTCCTCGTGGTATTGCGTTTTCCACAGAATCGCATTATGTTTATTGCGTCGGTCGCGGGGTCGGTCGCCGTCGACCTTTCGGCGTAATGTGTACTTAGATTTAAGGTACATACACGTGCGTCTTTATTTTCCATTCACTGTCTCGTTTCGGCGTATATATTTTTCCGATAAACTACACAGTGGAATAAATTATGATAGTCTGAGCCTATCAAATGCAAATAATAGGCCTAGTACATAGACCTTTAATTTATTATTATAGCCTGATATTGACTTTGTAATTGAATTTTTAAATTGAAATATTAAGTGATATTTGTAATAGCAATTAAGCTATCACCCACAATTAAACAGTGCCTGATTAACTCCAAGCGGTTGTATAACTACGTGGCTTGCTGGACCATGGATACGCCTATAGTTCACTGGTTGTTCATCAAGCTTTTTTCCCCTCTGAAATGATCTTACATACGTAGCACATGTGTAAATGAATACTATTGTAACATTGAAGTACAGAGACCTGTTCCCGTTGGACAACCCCAGCAATCAACCCCCCCCCCCCCCGGCTGGTTATAGCTGCTGTGGGTCACTCACTGCTTCCTCTGATCGCTAGAAGACGCGACGCCGCGCCGTCTGCTGATTGTCGATGCAGTCTAACGGATCTTCATCCGTTTCGCGCGCGTCGTAGAATCGCGTTGGCCGACGGCCGTCGGGCGCAGTGGTGCCTGGATTTTATTAGGTCTCAGCCCCAGTTTCTCCTCTACAGGACCAATTGATTTCTTTACTAAGCCTACAACGTTGTTAAAAAATGTTTATATTTGTGTTTTAGGTATCAGTATGACTGCACTTTCTCGCTTTGTCCTTGGGGGTGTGAACGTAAATACCAGATGCTGTCAACGACTGCTGAATGCCTTCCTAAACAAAACACCACTACAGTCCGTATGTTGCTATAAAAAAATACACCATTCGTCTAATAAATTGACATCATCAAAGTATCCACATAATATGTCGTCATCAATCTGGACATCGTCAACTTCATCTGGTAAGATACAGATAAAAGAAGATATTGGTAGATGTTCCGCAGCAGCTTCAGACGATGGTGATTTTTTGCACATTTTGTGGGATGATGGCAGTATGACGCGTTATCCGTACCTATGGATACGAGATAATTGTGGTTGTAGTCAGTGCTTCAATAAAGATATGAACCAGAGACTATTCTCATACAAAACGTTTAACGCTGACGTTAAACTTGTTGATGTCCAAAATGAGTCACCGGGTGCGATCGCACTACGCGGGACAGACGATCACATAACAACGCTAAATTTCGCCTGGCTCAGAGATAAAGGCGCAGAGCTGTTAGAAGGAAAACCCGATATACATCTAACAAAGGTGCATTGGGGCGCAGACATAATTTCTATCCTTCCAGTCTTCCAATACGATGAGGTTATTTCCGATTACGCTACTATGTACGAGTGGATGAAAAGTATCAAAATATTCGGTATTGGTCGAATAAATGGTGCGCCAAAGGAATCGGGTGAATTGATGAACATCGCCAAACGTATTGCTCATGTGAGAAAGACACTCTTCGGGTATGTATGAATATTCTTATTTTTTCAATCAGTTTCTAATAAGTTAAAGAAAAGTATACAAAACCTATAACGTGAATATCAATAAGTGCTATTTGTTTTCCCACAGAGATATTTCGATAATAAAAGCCAGGAGCGATGCCTTCTTTATAGGCTACACACCGATTGAATTGCCGTTGCACACCGATTACACTTTCGGCAAGACTGTCCCTGGGGTAAGTGAAACATTGTAAAAGCTTAGGCTTACTCAACGGTACAAGAATGGGAATTGTGGTAGGCTTCTATAATGAATGCCAGGGACGTATCCAAGGGCTGTCTCTTATAGGGGGGAGCCGTGGGAGCCGCCCCCCCCCCTTTGTACACAGTGTTAACATTTTAAAGCTTATGCTTGAGCTAATACAAATTCTTTCCTGGGATCAATGAATACTTCTAAAACATGTAAATATGCATCAATATACACGTTATATACATAGGCCTATTAGAACACATAGGCCTAAGCGTGATTTAAAAAAAATCTTAAATCCATAAATCTCAGGCCAGATATTTTAAATAGAAATGCGATACTGTGGTTCAATTTCGTTTTTATCCTTTTGCAAGTTTCTTCAAATTTTTGTTTAATAATACTACTGCTAATAGTAATAATAATAATAACGATGATGATGATGATGATAGTAATAATTGATAATAATATTAATAGCAATAAAAAGTGAAGAAAAAGTTGTGATTTGTTGATCATAATATAGTATATATAGTTAAAGCTTAGTAAGCTATAGTTAGGCCTAAGTGGTCCTGGATTCCTGATAAAAGATAATGAGAAAATTGTTGGCGTTTCTTTTTGACTATAATGGTGATGTGATGATGATGAATTTTACTATATAAAAGTGTCATTTCCGGCCATCTCGAGAGGTACTATTTCCTCAAATTTTCTCACCTCAGCCCCAGCCATGGTGGGGCTTGTGAAATCACGTTTTTGAAGTAGGCCTATGTAAAGTACATACTCAAAGACAATGTTTTTAAGCTTTGATT